TCTTCCTCCAAAATCCGCCTGTAGGAGGACATGCCCGACCAATCTAGAAGGGTAGGGGGAGGAGGAGCAGAAGGCGCAGCCCGGCCCAGCAGCCAAGCGCGCGCAGCGTGGGGCGCGGGCCCGATTGTCGTGGATCGGATGCGCAGTCTCGCCCCCTGCTTCAGCCTGCTGGCCCGCTTCAGTCCTCGCCTGCTCTCTCTGCGAAGGAGGAGGAAGGGGAGGAGGACGAGCAGGACGACGATGAGGAGGAGGAGGAGGAGGAGGAGGAGGAGGAGAGGGAGGAGGAGAAGGAGAAGGAGAAGGAGAAGGAGGAGGAGGAGGAGGAGGATGAGGAGGAGCCTCGGAGGTGACCGCGCAGCAGACGCGGCCACCCTCCGAGAGGCGGCGGCGGGGTGAGCCCGTTCGCGCGCGCGTGCGCAGCCTGAGCCGTAGCGTGCCCTTCTCGCTCGGGGTAGCCCCCTCTGGGTGCTGGAGGCGTGCGCCAAGCCCCCGACCAGCTGAAGGGGGAGGGGAGGAGGAGGAGGAGGAGAAGGAGGAGGAGGAGGAGGAGGAAAGGAAGAGGAGGAGGAAAAGAAGGAGGAAGAGGAGGAAGAGGAGGAGGGGGGAAACGGAGAAGGACAGAGGAGGGTGAGGAGGAGGACGAGGAGGAGGAGGAGGAGGAGGAGGAGGAGGAGGACGACGAGAAAGGGGCGGGGGGGAGGCGGAGGAGCAAGAGGAAACGGAGGATGGCCCGTTTTGCTTAGTGTACCCCCCTGCGTGCTGGTGGATGCACGGCACACACGGAAAGCAGAAGGACCCTGAGATCTTGGCGCTGTAATTTTTTCACCCGTCGTTTTCGCCCGGTGTTGGCCCCAGGGGCCATCACAGATCAGTCCGTTTCGAAAACGCCGCAGAATGATTTGGACTAGGGCCCCAGTGTTGGCCATGTTGCATTTTTCTGCAATGTCGGATCTCAAAGGAGGAACATTCATTCGAGGAGCGACCGGAGCAACTACAACCGATCTCTCCATCATATACATTGTATGAGTTTTTTTGCAGCCGTGCCACAGAGTCGTATCGCCGCCACAATTGACGCGCAACTTCAGAAGACACAGCGCGGTTTTCAGAGGAATCGGAGGACGACGCGCGCTGTGCACATCGCGCTGGACCTTAGACTTAGGAGAGCGGGCGAGCAGACAAGTCAATTTGGATTCGCTCGACTTGGAGAAAGCATTCGACGATCACGCGCAGGGCTGTTCAAAGCTGTGGAAGCGATGGGAATCCACGGGGACTTCACCCGGCTTGCACAGGAAGCGTTCAACAATCCACATGACCATGTTGAAATGGGGGGCTGAACCTCGAAGTGGCACCGCCAGCATGCGGGCATCCGACAAGGCTGCCACAGTCCCCGTACTTTTTTCTCATCGTTATGGCAGCTATGTTTCTGGACGTCCATGGCGCGCCAGGGCTGCGTGAAAAGTTGGGACGTCACAGGGCAGTGGGCGCGTTACTGGACGAGGTCCTCTATGCGGATGACACCATGATCCCACCAGCTCTTTAGGGCGTAGGTGGTCTAGGGCGGCTTCTCTTCCAATCCCCTCGTTCCCCTGCGGGGAGGGGTGTACCGCTCTCCCCACCCCTTCCCCTTGACCTCGACGGGGGTGGTCGCGAAGGGTTGGAGCGTCCAAGATGGCCCAATCTGGCTCCAAGAGCGCCTGGGAGAGCCCAGGATGAACTCCAAGATGGCCTACGATAGCGCAAGTTGGTGAAGGTGGCTTCCAAGATGTTCCAAAGGGCTCCAAGACCGCCCCAAGACGGGTCCAAGTGGCCCGAGAGCCCTCCGAGGAGGTCTCCAAGAGGCCAACATTTGTCAAACACCGAAGGGGAATCAATGTTGCTGGTTTTCTCGCCTCTTCGCTTCTGATGGGATGGCTCCGAGACGGCCCCAAGAGGGGCCCAAGGGAGCCCCAAGACGGCCCCAAGGGCGCTCCAAGAGCGCCCCAAGAGGCAATTTTAGAGGCTCCCGAGGGGCAGTATTAATTGGAGCTCCCCTGCTTTTTGATCGATGTCCTCCAAGATGGCCCCAAGAGCGCCCCTCAAATTCCCAAAAACGCACCAAGAGGGCCCAAGAGGCCTTCAAACGGCCCCAAGTGGCGCACAAGAGGCCTCCAAGACGCCCCCAAGGAACCCTCAAGAAGCTTCAACAGGATCCCCGATGCACCCAAGACGCTCCAAGAGGCCCCCAGGGCGCTTCCTGACACGTTGTTCCTTCTCCTTTTGAGGCGACACCTCCTTGACCTTCTTGTCCTTCTTGTTCTTGTTGGAATTATTGTTCTTCTTGTGGTGCTTGCTGACCTCCCAGCTTGTCGAAGCTGTCCTCCGACTCCTCCGGGATCGCGAGCGCCTCCTGTCCTCGGTCGTGGCCTCCGCCATCATCGGCTGCGACAGCTGCAGGCTGTGATGGTACGCGTCCAGCCCGCGCACCTCCTCCTGCCGAGTCACTTCCTCCTCCGTCAAGATCACCTGCGGTCTGGCCCCACGCCACACCTGCGACGCCTGCGGCTCCCTCCAGTACCCCGGCGGCGGCTCCTGGTCCACCTCAGTGAGGTCGGGGAAGATGGCCGGCTCGATGGGCATCGCCTTCGGCAGCGGCGCCATCAGCCACGAGGTTCCTCTCCTCCTCGGCGGTGTGGTTGGGGCCCTCTTCCCCACAGCTCAGCACCACCTCGACCTCCAGCTCGTCGATGTCCTTCCCCTCCTGCGTGGAGCGCTGCGCCAGGCCTGCGAGCGCCTGCTGCGCGCCCTTGAGCTCCAGCAGCGCCCGAGGGCAGGAGAAGTCGAAGGAGCATCGGGCGACGGCCATCCGCTCCCGCGCGCTGCGCCGCTTCCAATCACGCGCGCGGCATCCCAGGCCCCCGCCTGCGGCGAAACGGCTCGAGGGTTGAGGGTGAGGAGGTGGTGGTGGAAGAGGAGGATGAGGAGGAGGAGGAGGAGGAGAAGGAGGAGGAGGAGGAGGTGGGAGGAGGAGCTCCGCTGCTCCTCCTTTCCCCCCACTGCTCCTCCTTTTTCCCTTCCCCCCTCGTCCTTCTTGTACTAGTCGTTATTATAGTACTCATAATACTACTACTACTAATATAATAATAATAATCCTTCCTCCTCCTCCTCCTCCTCCTCCTCTTCCACCACCAGAAGGAGGAGGTGAGGTTGGGAGGAGGAGGAGGAGGACGAGGAGGAAAGGAGGAGGCACAGCACGAACAGTCAGCAGAAGCAGCAAGCCCCAGACGTCGCCAGAGAAAGGAATCTCCAGGGGACTGGACTCCAACGGAGAAGGGGGAGTCTGCTGGCGGAGCTCCTCCTCCCATTCCTCTCCTCCTCCTCCTCCTCCTCCTCCCCCACCTCTCCTCCTCCTCCTCCTCCTCCTCCTCCTCCTCCTCCTCCTCCTCCCCATTTTGGCTCAAGCGGTCGCACGGTTCTGCCTCGCTCTCGGCCCGCCTCGTTCGTGTCCTGGGCCATGGCAGAGCCTAGAGGGGCTTCCTGCAACGCCTGCGACCTCGTCGCAGCCGCGGTGCGGGCAGCAGTGCAAGGAGGAGCTCCACGCCGCACTGTGGCAGCTGTCGCGAGGTCTGCGGTGTCAGCGGCGTTGTTCGCCGGCAGGACGCCGACCCCCGCCGCGGCGCCGCCGCAGCCTGCGGCCGACGTGGAGGCCATTTGCACGCAGAAGAAGACGGAGAAGCAGGAGAAGAAGTGCGCGCGGCGCCGTCGGCGCAGGGCGAGGCTGGCGGAGCGGAAGGCGGGTGGCCGCGAGCCCGCGGTGCCTGCCGCCGTGCCCGCTGGTGCGCCCCCCCGTGCCATGGACATCTCCGACGGCTCCGTCGACGACAGCTGGGCGGACGCCCTGCCGCCACGCGTGGCGCGGAGGCGTAAGCTGCGGCCTGCGGCCGCGGTTGCGGCTGCTCCGGAGGTGGCGGCGTCGGCGGAGCTCGTCGACGACAGCTGGGCGGACGCCCTGCCGCCACGCGTGGCGCGGAGGCGTAAGCTGCGGCCTGCGGCCGCGGTTGCGGCTGCTCCGGAGGTGGCGGCGTCGGCGGAGCTGGCTCCTGGAGCTGGCGGAGCCGCAGCCGCTGCGGCTGGGAGCGGCCCCGCACTGGCGGAGGCTGCGGCGGCGGTGCCCTCGGACGAGCGCGCGGAGCTGCTCGCGCGGCTCCTCGCGGCCTCGTCCAGGCCCGACACCGACGGCCCCTTGTGCAAGCAGCTCGGGGTGGAGGCGCTGCGGAAGCTCGCCGAGCTCTGAGAGGCTGGCCCCTGTGGGCCCCTCGGGCAGCACGTGTGCGGTACGCCCGCGGTTGCTGTCCCGAGGGTGTTCCCACGGCGGCCGTTCCCCCTTGGTCGGCGGCACGTGTGCGGTACGTCCGCGGTTGCCGTGCAGGCCTTGGGGCCCCTGCTCTTCGTGTTCGGCGGGAGCAGGCTCCATATTAGAGCCCGTCGCGTGCTCGGATCGGGCGCGCGCTCGGTAGCCTCGACCCTCGACCCTCCTCCTCCTCCTCCTCCTCCTCCTCCTCCTCTCCTCCTCCTCCTCCTCCTCCTCCTCCCTCCTCCTCCTCCTCCTCCTCCTCCTCCTCTCCTCCTCCTCCTCCTCCTCCTCCTCCTCCTCCTCCTCCTCCTCCTCCTCCTCCTCCCTCCTCCTCCTCCTCCTCCTCCTCCTCCTCCTCCTCCTCCTCCTCCTCCTCCTCTCCTCCTCCTCCTCCTCCTCCTCCTCCTCCTCCTCCTCCTCCTCCTCCTCCTCCTCCTCCTCCTGAGCTCCTCGATCCGCCCCCCCACGACGTCGCGGGCCATCGCTACACCAGAACTTTGGCCATCGCAGCTGCTAGTGAGCTTTCTGCTGGCATCGTTCCGCTGACCTGGAAGACATCCGAAATCGCATTCTGCGATGCCATTGCACGGGGGCCCGCTATGAACCGCATCCCAGACAAATGAGTCAGATCGGGCACTGTGCCTTTCCCCCCTGGTCCATGAGGTGAAAGTGCGAAGTCCCGTCGTGGAATTTTGACAGGTCCGAGAAAAGCGCGCCCGCACCGAACTAGGTAAACTAAGCGAAATGGGCGTAGGTCCCATGCCCCCACTCCGCCGTGCCGCACCCCTCGTTGAACAGCGTCAAACTCAGGGATCTGGTGGCCCTACTTCCACTCTTTGGCCAAACCCTGGCGTAGACGAGCCCAGACCCTGAATATTGAGAATGCGAGCGCGCTGGGCCTCAGATCGGAGCTCTCAGGCCCCCCAATGAAGACCATCATGGAGGGCCACTTGGAGGGGAGGTCAGGCTTAGACTCCCAGATCTGCAGTACATCTAACGTCCCGAGGTGGCAGTCTTCATATAGCAAAAGCCAGGCTCGAGGGTTGACCCTGTCGATGCCAAGGCCCACCTTGCGTCTGGACTTTTTTACTTAACAACGAAG